GTCCTGAATCTAGATTAGGTTGTAGTATTTATGTAACTTTGTATTACCCTAGTTAACCATTTGTTGATTTAGCTAACCATCCTGATCCCTCACATTGTTAACCCCCAGCCCCACCAAAGAACCCCACGTGCACGAAAGCACTATAATGTAGACGACATGGGGGCCACCTCTGACGTCCGGAGCTGGGCATGAAGCCTACACCCACTGTGATCCACACTCCCACACAGATACCATGCACTTAGCAGCCCTGAAGCAACACCATACTCTCCGGGCATCCCCACTCCACCCGGAGACACCATTGTATAAACCAGTAAAGTCCCACCATGAGTCCTATAACTGAGTCTTAACCCAATTTGTGACATATTTAGCGCTGAGTACAGTATGCTGCTCTCCCCTACTGACACTCTGAATGCTAAAGTTGATGTTTAAATGTTTATACTAACTGTGTAAACTGTGTCCATTACATACCATAACAACTGCCACAACCGGTCATTCCGGTCATGGTACCAGGGACTGTGTACCCTAAGGTACACAGCTAATAACTCTTATAGTGAACATACATGCCCCAACCCCAACCCTAACGCACCAGGTAGACCCGATGACACGGCAAGATGGGACCCCTATTCCCGGCTCAACCCTTAGAAATCTAGGCCCGCAGCGCTACCAATAGGATGCCCCGCAGTTCTCTCTAAGGGACATTGCATAGCTGTAATATGCTTTTTGGTCTGTCTGTTTAATTATAGCCGTGGGCCCTCCAATTCTAAGTAACCCATGGTCATTACTATTGTTTACTGACTATGCTACCTATGTACACTGTGTTAAATGCATACCACAAAGACAGCTACAACCAGACACCACCGCCCCGAACACGGACTATTGGCCATCCACGAACCGTCCTAAGGTACACCGATAATAGCTATGGAAGGGTCATTATCTGCCTTAACCTCATCCTTAACACTCCAGGCAGCCTCACTGGTACGACAAGTCGAGCCCTTTGTTCCCGGTCCGACCCTTCAGAAACTAGGCATGCAACTGTACCAATGGGATGCCCCGCAGTCTTCTATAAAGTAAAACATACTGATGTTATTAGTCTACTGGTTTGTCTCATCGCTTAGGGTCACAGGGCCTCCACACCTACATCGCCCATGGCCATCATTACTGCTTAATGTCTATGCTAAATGCGTACACTGGGACAAATGCATGCATACAATAACAACTGTCATGACCAAATACCATCACCCCGGCCATGGGATTTTGAGCACTCACATCCCACTCCGAAGTACACTGCTAACTGCTATCGTAGGGACAATAATCACTTTTACCCCATATTTAATGCTCCAGGCAGCCTCAAAGGCACGTCAAGACGGGACCTCTCACCCTGGCTTAACCTGTCAGAATCTAGGTACGCAATTTTACCAATGGGATACCCCGCAGTTATCCCTAGTTATCTCCTATAGCGAAGGGTACCAGGACCCCCATGATCCCCATAAAACAGTTTATGCTCCCTTCCCCACTGCCCCCCATCACCTCACGGCACACCCATCACACCCCTCACTTTTGGAGCGAACATATAATACCCAGGAGAAGACCAATCTAGATGACACCCACACCCTCTCACTTAGGGAATAGACCCCTCCAAGGCGACAACAGGGGTGTGAGGGGGGAAACACTGATCCATTGTAACTCATACCTCACCTATGGTCGCAGCAATCCCTGGATATATTATCACTCTCCACACACCACCTGCAGGAGCATACTCTTCCTCTGGTCTCGATCCGTGTAATACCACAGATTGGAACCACTCTGCCACCACCAGACCTGTGCCCCATCTATGCCCCCTCCCTTCAATTTTTATTTTCTTTCTCTGCCACCTCACAGCCATATCAGAAGCCAAGGAACCCAAACCTCCAAACATGAATTCCTCTCTATCTTGCATCTCCATTAATTGCAAGAGCCTCAACAACCCCAACAAATGCAACCAATTCCTACGATGGGCAAACAGAACTCTAGCTCAAATTATCCTCCTGCAAGAAACTCCCTTCATCCAAGCTAGACCGTTCCCTCTCCTAAGCCGCCATTTCAACCACTATTTCCTAGCCAACAGGAAAGTAAAACGGAGTAGCAATATTACTGCACAAATCTTGCCCACTGTCCATTGAACAAATGGTTTTGGATCCTCAAGGCCATTATATAACGATTGTTGCACGAATAGGCTACCATAAATACGCCTTCACATCCATATATGCACCAAACACACCGTCCAGCACCTTTTGGAATGGCATACAGGCACACCTATTGCTCTTCTTCTCCCACCATTTAATCATAGGAGGAGACTGTAATGCCACCTTAGCCCAGTAATAGACCGACGCCAAACCATGACACAGGCTGAAAACCAGCCCAAAACAGCAAAGGCAGACAAACTCTTACAAACCTTCACAAGATGGACATAATTGATAGACACCTGGAGATCCCAACACCCGACCTCACAAGATTACACCTGTGGCGAAAGTGACCTCACCACTGGTTTTTGGAGGGGCCTGTTTGCCAGCCTCCTGCCCTGTGACTAAGGCTCTGGGATGTATTGCCCTTTAAGGAACTGATTTGGGCATACTGTATTTTATTATGCTGCTGCTGGCCCTTTAAGAACCATCTGGGGACATACTGTGGAGTTACTGGGTGGCCACCATTTCATTTATCAGAGGCACATGGTGAGAACAATGGATAGCGGCCATTTTAACTCACAGACACTGTTGTGACTTTTCTATACGGTGCCATCTCGCTGGTATTTGGTGCACAAAGACATCATTCAGTAGTTTTAAACTACAGAACAGGGGACACATTTAACAGTAATTATTTTTCATATAGCCTGTATATGTTCTGTGGAATCTGCATTAAACCGTATCTTCCAAACTACTGAACAGATCAGGGTGAATTTTGGATATGTGGTTCACCCAGATCCCCCGGTTCTGAGTTCTCTTATGGGGTTATTGCATGTTTTGGGGTCCCTGTGATATGTTTTATAATACTGTATTTTCCTGCCTTTGATAATTAAATTAGTGTATTGTGTTGAGATAATTGTATCACAGGCAGAGGGGAGGATTTCTGATGTAGTGAATGGGAGTGTTAGCTGTGTTGTAATGTGTTGATTGGTTGTTCTTCAAAACCCTGTGGGCAGTACTATGTTTGTAGAATGTGAATAAAAGAGGCTGTATGTGCCAGTACAGTCAGATCTCGTGATTGGAGGGAACTGCTATATAACACTGTGGATTGCTATGCTCTCCATACTCCCCTGAGCTTTAATCACTCAGCTCTTTTAAGAGCTTGTTCCTTATACGCTCTCCATCTGTTTTAATATTGGTGGTTTTAATTTAATCGTAAGGGATAGACATTTCATTGTTTTTCCACAACCATTTTTGGAATCTAATACCCTTTATATTCTTGTTTCAGTTTAACCAGATACCTCAAGGAACTAAAGACTCCATTCAAGATGTCATCATCGTCTTGTCATGGATGATCATCACTTGACATCAAGAAGTCTTCGCTTGGAGTCTACCTGTTTCGTGTTCAGTTTTAAATGTTGTTCTACCATTATCTTACCATGGACCTTTACAAGTTATCTCTATTATTATTCTGCATTGTGTTCTTGTGATGTCGCATGCTTTAAGAGGAAATTATGTCATATGTTACACCTCTTATACTCTATACTGCATTGTGATTGGTTCTCATTTTTGTCACTCTTTTCTTTGCTGCTATGGAGTTAGTAAAGAAAGATTATGCAAAATACTCGCCTACTGACATTATTAAAATTAATATTATCGGTACACTAAAGCTAGCATAATCTTCAATAATTTTTCATATAGCGTGTATATGTTCTGCGGAATCTGCATTAAACCGTATCTTCCAAACTACTGAACGGATCTGGGTGAATTTTGGATATGTGGTTCACTCAGATCCCCCGGTTCTGAGTTCTCTTATGGGTTATTGCATGTTTTGGGGTCCCTGTGATATGTTTTATAATTCTGTATTTTCCTGCCTTTGATAATTAAATTAGTGTATTGTGTTGAGATAATTGTATCACAGGCAGAGGGGAGGATTTCTGATGTAGTGAATGGGAGTGTTAGCTGTGTTGTAATGTGTTGATTGGTTGTTCTTCAAAACCCTGTGGGCAGTACTATGTTTGTAGAATGTGAATAAAAGAGGCTGTATGTGCCAGAACAGTCAGATCTTCTTGACCCTCAACATGGCCCGACAGTGGTCTTGTCTCGTGATTGGAGGGAACTGCTATATAACACTAGGGATTGCTATGCTCTGCATACTCCCCTGAGCTTTAATCACTCGGCTCTTTTAAGAGCTTGTTCCTGATACGCTCTCCTGGATTGAAGCCAATCCAGGTTGGACAAAAGACGGCGAGACTCCAGTTAAGCTATGGCGGTTGTGGAGTCTGCGGTGGTTGTGGTGCCCAGTGCGGTGCTTGTGATCCTCGGCGCAAGCTAGGAAGCGTCCATCAATGGAAGGTACTCGGTTGGAGTACGGGGAGTTCCGTTACAACACTTTCTTCTCCCATCTGCACCAATCCCATTCTCGCATTGACCTGTTTCTAATATTCCACTCCCTAATACCTATGGTCAAGTCTACCGCCATAGGCTCCATTACATGGTCGGACCACGCAGACTTACGCTGCCAAACATGGCCCGACAGTGGTCTTGGCGCCTCAACCTGGTCCTACTGCATAACCCGCAGATACAGGACTCTATTTCCCGAGCGATCACTGACTATTTCTCCTTAAACCAGGGCTTAGTCTCCTCCCTAGGTACACTTTGGACGGCCCACAAATCTATTCTCCGGGGTAGTATAATCAGTCTCGCCTCACACCACAAAAAAATAAAACTACTCTTGAACACGCACTGACTGAATTACGCTATTTGGAAGCCAAACTCAAACAACACCCCTCCCCAGAACTTGTGCAGATTTCACAATGCCAAAAAACTATTAGAGAATTCATGGTGACGGACTCTGCTAGGGCCCTACAATGGACCAGACAACTCTATTATGAAAAATCTAACATGGCAGATACTCTTCTGGCCCCTAAGCTCAAATGCAGAGCCACTCACAAACGTATAGACAAAATAAAATCCCCAGACGGACAAAAACAAGATGCACCACAACGCATAGCGGATGTGTTCCAAGGATTCTTCTCCTCCCTATACGACCACAGCCCACAGATCCACCAAAACCCCAACCTGCTAACTGCGCAAATCAACCGATACCTCAACCGATACCTCACCTCGGTCAACCAGCCCTCTTTACCCTCCAAAGATGCTAACAAACTGATCATACCGGTGACACCTGATGAACTAGCCAACACACGTAAAACCCAACAAATGTCCAGGACCGGATGGGTTCTCTGGACTCTACTATAAAAACTATGCCTAAGTTCTGACCCCCCACCTCTGCAAACTTTTCAACTCCACACTAGACAGAAATGCATTACCATCTGACATGTTACGGGCAAACATATGCCTCCTACCCAAACCAGATAAATCTCGCTTAGAATACGGCCACTTTCGCCCCATCTCTCTGCTCAACGTAGATATTAAATTATTCGCAAAACTTATGGCAGAAAGACTCAACCCCCTCTTACCCAAAATCATACACCCAGACCAGGTAGGATTCATTCCCTCCAGACAACACCAGATGGATATTTGTCCTAATATGGCACACAGACTATAGACGGATCCCCACCTTAGTTCTAGCCCTCAATGCTGAGAAAACGTTTGACAGACTACTTTGACCCTTTTTCTTTGCCACTCTCCGCAAATTCGGATTCCCCCAATCCTTTACAGATGCACTACAATCACAATACTCCTCCCCTACAGCGAACTTACTCCTCTCGCACTCACAATCACCCTCATTTTGAATATATAATGGGACCCGACAAGGCTGCCCCCTCTCCCCAATCTTGTTTGTAATATCCCTGGAACCTTTACTCCAATCCTACCGGGCCAACACAGACATCAAAGGCATTAACATCAGGGGAGAAGAATACAAAACTGCAGCTTATGCTAACGACCTGATACTCACCATAACGGACCCCACGCACTCTATATCTGCGCTTCTCACCGCACTTGACGATTATACAGCAGTCTCGGGTTACAAAAATAAATATTGATAAGACAGAGGCCCTACCAATCCAGGTAGACCCAGCAATGATAACTGCCCTCCATGCACAATGCTCATTTAACCTCCAAAATACTACAATCAAATACCTGGGCACCTCTCTCTCCGCAGACCTCACCCAGACATATGACCTTAACTACACCCCCCTACTACATAAAGCCCTCCACAATCTACAGAACTGGAACACTATGCCAATATCATGGCTAGGCCACCTAGCCTCCATAAAAATGAACATGCAACAAGATTCTTATATTCCTTGCAAGCCCTACCATTCCCCATAGCCGCGTCTGACTTCAAAAATTTACAGACGAACATTGATAAATTCATCTGGGCCAACAAAAGGGCGAGAATCAGACGCAAAACACTATATGTCGCTACTAAGGCAGAAGGCTTAGGACTACCACACTTTTACCACTACTACCACACTGCACAGCTAGCTCAAACCCAGAACTTCCATGCCCCTTACGGCATCAAGAGATGGGTAGACCTAGAACATAACATCGTTGGCAGGGACTTCCTATCCTTATATATCTGGCTCCCGACACAAGCGAGAACACCACTACCCCCCACATCCCTGGCGATTCTCACATCAATAAGGCTATGGAACAAAATTGAGGTTAAATGCATACTAACATCCAACACCTCACCACTGACACCAATCCTGAACACACAATTTTCCCCGGGCATGCACCCTAAAAATTTTGTGCACTTTGAAGACAACAATCTAACCTGATTCTACCATTTCATCACCAACCACCAACTAATCCCATTCCCTGATCTCCCACGACCCAGACCATTGACAACTTTTGACTTTTTTTGCAATATTCAAATTAAAAGCTTCCTTAGCACTCCAACAAATAAAATAGCAAGCACTACCCCCATAACGCCATTTGAGAGAACTTGTATGAACCATCCCACCCAAAAGGTTCAAATACTCTATACCCGTATCACTCACAACTTACAGGACAACATCCTGCCCTACATGGCGGCTTGGGAGAGGGATCTGGGATCTATAGGGGACCCCAAGGACTGGATAGCCATCTGGGAAGCCACTGCTAAGGTTACTATTTGCGTGAATCACAAGTAACAGGTGTACAAGACCCTTATGAGGTGGTACATCACTCCCCTGCGGTTAAAAAAAATGGGAAGAACAGACTCAGACAGATGCTGGAAAGGATGCAAATAAAGGTACTTACATACACCTCTGGTGGGAATGTGAACACATTGCACAAATCTGGCGTCAAATATCCCAATTGACTTCCCAAGTATTGCACTCTGACATTCCACTAGATCCGTGGACCTGGCTCTTGTCAAGGCCTCTCCAGAATACCCCACAGGCCCAAAACAAACTCATCGCCAAAATAGCTCTAGCCAGTAGGTGAGCAATAGCTGAACAGTGGTCCCAGACACACCAAATACATGACTCAACGAAGCACCATAATAAGATTTAGGATCCCTGATTATTCAAATTCCCTTTAGTACTCTAACTTGTTCCCTCTGGGCACCCAAGATGGGGGTCGCCCCCCCCTTAGATCCCCATCACCCCCCACCTTTTTTTCTCTCTTCTCTCACTCTCTCTTCCCTCTCTCCCACCACTTTACACTTCCTCCTAACCCCTCTACAACACTCTCAACCCCTTAACTCCACTCTGGCTGTCTCACCATCCCCCATCCCCATTAATCAAGGCGAGAGGGGCTGGCCCTCTCTGGTCAATCCAATCACATTTATGGGTTCATGCTACATTACCATGGCTTACTTACTTACTTATCCTGAGAGTCACACACACTGCTGGGACCCAAACAACTTAAACAGACACTAAACAGCAAACACCACACCTCCTGAGCTTGCAACAACAAATTACAAACCACACGAACCCCAACTCCGCTCATTCACGAGCATCGCATTAAGTAGAACCAGAGACATATTTCACACTAAATAGAATGCAGGCACAAAATCTCTCAACCACACGGAACACACTATTCAGCACACCAACAGGAAAAGAAAGTGATGTAAAAGCGTAAAAATGACTATTGAGGTAATGTATGACTAATGAGGTAATGTATGCTCACCCTTCTGTTCAAAACATGACAGAAACCTATAACCTTCATTCTTTTTTCTGTAACCCCTCCCCTGTTTCTCAAACTATGACACAATGATATAAATGAAGAATGTATATAAAAAACCCACATTTTGTAGGCTCTCTCCACCGTATGGAATACGGGTGTAACACCTCTAGGCCACACAGGTTATAATAAATGGCACCTCACCCAGAACAGAACAAAACTCAGATTGTATAAATACATACGGTTGTACTTTTTGATGTACCGTTTGTAAAAATGTGAATGTAATCCCTAATATTCCTTCTTTATTCTGTAATCCCTTCCTTGTTTATCAAAATCTGATATAAAATTATATAAATGAATTTATTTTAAAAAAGTTTGATGTAAATACAATCTTTTCTAAATCAATCCAATAAATCAAATAATTTCTGATATCTAATAAAATGATTCATTACAACTAGGGAGGATGTAATTTTTAAAAGTACATTATTAATCCTAATGAATCTACATTTTGACCTTTAATCCAAAAATAAAATAAAACAGTATACCACAATACAAATTGTGTGCTACTTGTGTCCTTAGGGGTCTAATTAGAACAAACTACATACTTATCTGTTTCAAATCAACTTATTTATTAACATTGAGGGAGCATTCAAATTGAAAATTACTTTACTTGATGTTCCTTGTGTTAAATTGTGTTTGTCATACTCATGTATTGGGCATACAGGTGCATATAAAAACCTTGGTTTTTATATAAAATTCTAAAAATATCATTAATTATTTTAATCAAATACAATAATTACAACTGCAGATGCAGTTTAAAAAAACAAAAAAACATTTTTGATCTGGTGGACCTACAGTTTATCATGTAAAATCATGTTTGATTTAAATATCTGCTGAAATACAATGTGAGTTCTTTTGTACTGTATTGCAATACGAGGTGTGAGCTACTTATGAGTTTAGAGAATCTAGTTAGACTTATTTACATTTATTAAGGTGTGAAATCAAGTAATTTATTATCGCAGAAAAAAAGAGTAAATATAATTATACTCTTTCTACTTTCATTCTACTTGTATTGTGAAAAAAAAAAAATATATATATACTCATAGACATGTGCAATTCGTCTACATTCGAATGTACATTCGAATGTAGACAAATGTTTGAATTGCTGAATTTTCTAAGTGCTTTGGATGTCTGAAAAGTGGCAAAACAAGTGGTTAGGATTAGGGTTAAGGGTTAGGGTTAGGGTTAGGGTTAAGGTCCGAATTACCTAAGTTCTGAATTACAGAAGATCAGAATTTCGGAAGTGCTGAACCAAATTCCAATGGTCCGAATTTACTGATGCAGACGTATTTTTTTTCTTACCTGAATTCCACCGAATACTTTGCCCATGCACATCCCTATATATTCATATCAAAATACAGTTAGAATGGGGGAGTGGGGGCGGAGCCTGACTGCCAAAGCAAATGGTCGCATGATTTCTGAGCTCCTGAAAACGAGGACCCGAACCAACATAATACTGCCTCTCCTACCAGTACCTTTGTGCTCCAGCGGATCTGCAAGCTTGTTTGGACCTCATGGGGAAGAAAAACAAAAATTGAGGCCTGATAAGCCCCGATTGGGGATGAACATCAGGGCCATGTGGCAGCAGACAAACAGCGCTTATGGGTCCAAGATGGCGTTCCTCATGGGAGACTGCTCGGACTTCTCCGATGAGCTGTCCAATTAGGTGGATGATTGGTACTTACCCACACTGGCAGTCACACCGCTGACACCACAGCCAAATCCGAACTCTGCTCCGGTGACAATAGCGGTTCTGAAGGAGCTCCTTGTGAGCCTGCAACGGAATCTCGTGGCTGATATGGCTACCATACGCAAGGATAAACAAGGCCTGATGGGCCACCTTGGGGATCTGGAAGAGGCTTCCACCACAGGCATGCAGCAAATTGCATCCCTGGAACAGGCAGTCTATGACCTAGAGCAACAAAACTTAATGCACAAGCGCCGTTTTGCGGCCCAGAAAAACACACACCGCCGAAATAATCTCAAAATCAGAGGGATCCTGGACACCGTCCCTGAAGTGGAGCCTACTGGCAGCCTTG